TCTAAATAATTGTATTTTTTAAAAAATCATTATTTCATCCAAAGTTTCTCTTATTATATCTATCTGGTGCACATTAATTTATTACACAAAGGGACAGAATTGTACAGTTTATGCTTAGATTAAATTAAAGAAAAAGTCAATTAGAAGAATATATTTTACATGAGAAACACAAGAAGGCAATTGGGGAAAACAAAACAAGAAAATAAAACAAAATTCTTGGTACTTTCTCTTTTTCTTCTAAGCAAGAAGTGTATAGAGGTCATCCTTTTTCTTCTTCCAGTCTCGCAGACGGGGCACTTGTATGATAGGTTCCATCTGTAAAACAGTTCACTGAAATTGTCTCAGAGGTGTGGTAAGCAACAAGTCGTGTGCGGTTTCAAATGCTAACTGCAATTTAATCCTGTCTTGTTTTACTGCTTGCACATCCAAAGGTTGGAATGGATACTCATTTTATAGGTGAGAAACAGAAAGCTGAAGTGGCTATCGAGGGTATTAGGATAAGGGGTTGGAGGAACTGGATCTGAAATAGAGGCTTTCCAGCACCCTGTGCAATGCTTTCTCCATGTAATTTCATCAACATTGACCCTTGATGAAACCTCATGGCCTGACTCTATTTAGGGCATATAGGAGGGAAAAATTCACTTTTCCTTGCCTGTACCTTCCTTGCCAGATTTGAGCAAATCTCAGGCACATTATATCTAAGAGGAACACCTCATGTTGTTGGTTTAGCATCTTGGTTGTGTATATTACATTCTGAAAGCCCTTTAAAAATGGCGAGATGAAGGAAAGCATTCACGTGGGTTATTTTGGTTATTTGTCATGTCGATTATGTAAACCTAGTAAGTTAATTGCTCCAAGAAGATTTGGATATTAGTCTTTGTTTCTAATGATGGATTGAAGGACGATGATTTCTTAAAAAATTAATTTAATAAGTCAGAAACTAGGAGTAGAAGTATCAGAGGTCAGAGACCTTCCTGCCAAAACATTAAGCCTACTAGGATCTATGCTGTCCAGAATGACAGAACCCTTTCATTTTTGGATTGACACATATTCATTAAAAACAAATTACTGTTCGCATCTGGTCTGACTCATTTTATGGGAACAAGCAGTTCCTCTGGAAGTACAAATAGGGAGGAAAGGAATCGAAAATGAAGGGAGGCATGGGACTGGCCCTATGTAGTTTTTCTAGGTCTGAGAAATACAAATATAATTTTGATGTACAATTAACATACTCTGAGTTAAAAATCAGCAAGCCCACATATGTGTAAAGACATTTATTAGCCTGAACTATCTCACAGATCAATTGAATATTCAGTCTTTAAGCTTTTCCTCAATAAATCTATCGAAATTAGCTTCTGTTCCAGGATCAAGTGCTAAATTTTGAAGAGAGTGTTCTATGTCCATTCTGACTTACTTTTGCCAAAACAGTGATGGGATTCATAAATAACTGTATTAAATTGTAAATCTCTATAGTAGGGCACTTGAAAAAAGTGTCATTGAAGTCTTTCCATCCTCAAAAAGGTTGTTGTGTGTTACAATTTATAATCAGGAACCAGAGAAGGTCATGGAGAAAGAAAAAATATATATGTATATTATATATATATATATATCACCATCACACAAAATACTGTAAATAACATTTTACCTATTATTTTTTTGGCAATGAAGAGATTATCTTAATTATTATAAGTGCAGTAATTATAATTCTCATTCACTTCTCAAGTTCTTAAATTATTTCCTATTTCCATCTTAATCTCTTTGGTCTTTATAGACTGATAAAATATACTTGTCTTGGCAGAATTCATATAATTTGTTTTCTCTGTGTTTTAAGTGCTAATCTAGAAATTAAATTTTCCAAAATATACCTATATATAATTAATTAAACTGATGCATAATTATATTTAACTTTATGCATAAAATTACCTTGATTGTTTATATAGGCAATTTTAATATGGGATATAAAAGTGAGATTTCCATTGAATATATGCTTTTATTTTTCTTCATCCATATATTTCAAGGAAAAAAGTTCATGAATGATAAGAAAAATAGGTCTGCCAATTTTGACAATATACATTTCATAGATGATCTAGGACAGGAACTAATTACTTGCATTATTTATCTTTTGAAACATGATAGTAATTTTTCTAAGAGAGACCATCCAGGAACAATCACTGACATATCTAAGAAAGGGAGTTTGTGTGTGGTATTAAGAGAAAAAAGTGGACGATATGGACAAATTGTCTTCCAAATGCAGTTTTACCGAAATATACCATTTTATTTTAATTTTTTACCCTGTTCTGAACTTGAAAAATAGACTTCCACTTGGTTTGAATTAATATTAATTCTTGGAGGGTGTGATAGTAAGTTGAAAATATCTAATAATTTTTCACTTTGAGGATCAGACATCTTATCACAAGAGATCAGAGCCAAGTTATAATCTGAAAAGAAAATATTCTTATTTAATTTTGGCTCCAGACTATCTTCACATTATACAGCCAATAGTTCTTTCCAAGAGACTTTCTAGGATATAACAGGCCTAATGTTTTATAACATGGCTACATGTCTATATGTACAGTTTACAATTCACGAAACATTATTGTTGCTTTTAAGTCAGATTTTTTGAAATGGACTCAAGGAAAAAAATGTGCTTACAGATGTTTGGCTGGCTTCTTAGGGTTTTCTAGGGGTAATATTTTAATTGAGTAGCACTAACTAAGGTCTAGTCATCTGCTTAAATCATTTAGAAACTCAATATGATTGGTACATTCTGAGATAATCTATCTCAGCACCAGGCTTATGTGAACCCACCTCATAAGAGTTCTATGAGTTATATTTAGTTTCTGTACTCCAGGCACTCTGAACTTTTGCCAAGCATAGCCTCACCTTACAATTTTTATATTAGATCTTTCCTGTGTCCGAAATGTTCTGTCTTAAGATCTGTGCTTCATTTAGTATCAGCTGAAAGACTACTGCCTCAGAGAAGCCTTCCCTACAACTCTATCCAGGCAAACCTCTTGCTTGCTTTATCCACTATTTTTAAATCAATTTACTTTTTCATGAAGCATTTGCTGTTACCTGAAATTATATTTTATATAATATCATGTCCAATAATTTATTTTCCTACAAATATGTGAGCAATTTGAAAATCAGTCAGTGCGATTTACCATATTCACAAATTCAGAAACAAAAAACAAATAAGCATTTCAATAGTTACAGAAAAAATATCTGGCAAAATCCAATATCCATTCCTGATCAAGCTCTCAGCAAACTATGAATAGAAGGAAATTTCCTCAACTTGATACAGGGCATCTATACAAAATCTAGAACTACTATCATATTTAATAGTGAGTAAATGAATATTTTTTCTCCTAAGAACAAGACAAGGCTATCTTTTCTCACCATCTTTATACAAAATAGTCTGGACATGCTCGTCTATGTAGAAAATCTGACACAATCTGTAAAAAAAAATCTACTAGAACTTCTAAGAATGTTTAGCCAGATTGTAGGACTGGGTGTGTGTGTGTGTGTGTGTGTGTGTGTATACCCATTACATAAAACATTATAAAATAAATGTATTTTAATGTGTTAAATGTATATTAAATATATTATATTATATATTTTTATGTAAGAACTAAACCACAAATTAAACTAAATGAAACTGTAATTTCAAAAGCATCACACATATAAAATACTTAGGAAAAAATCTGTCAAAAGAAGTGCAAGATATTTACATTGAAAACTACACAATACTGATGAGCAGTATTAGGGAAAAATTATGTGAATGGAAAAACATATCTCATTTACAAGTCAAAAACTTGATATTGTTAAAATGTCAATTTTTCACAAATTAATCTATAGATTCAACACAAATGTAATCCATTTCAAATAGGCTTTCTTATAGAAATGAATGGGGGGAGTTTATAGACAGTACAATGCACTTGCTAATATTATTTAGGGTTCAAAATTTTAGTATATCATATATCATCAAGACATGTACCACCAAAACAAATAAAAAATCTTTAATCTTGAATTTGAAAATTGTCTTTTGAAATATCAGTATAAACCCAAGATATGTTTTCTCATAAAAATATCCATTTTCTAGTTCTGAATACCGAAAGTTTCTAGAAGCCATGGATAACCTACTCCCAATAAGCATTTTAAACACCTAGATTTGGAGATCTTAAATCATTCCCTACTAAATATAATAGTATTTATTGGAGAAATTGTGGATTCTAGATTTAAAGGAGGAAATGTATAAGACAAACATAGAATATTTCACCATACTAAAAGGTAAGAACACTGAAACCACCTTGAAAATAGCCAACTGTCCAAGGATGAGGCAACTAGAACATTAGTAAAGATAACTGTAACACACCGAACATATTGCATGTGTGTATATTCATGAGTTCCTAATGATACAAAAGAGAGAAAAAAGAAAAAATTTCTACTGGTAAATTCAAACCACAGAGTCATTATTTTTAATGTGAAATCAACTATGATTGGAAGTTAATCAAGAGGAGTCAAAAATAATTTTGCATTTATTGTACATTTTTATATCATCTATTAGAGTAACTAGTGGACAAAATGATATTCCTGTTTTGTAGAATTTTGTGAGTTACTTAGTAGAAAAGAAATAATAAAATTAGAATATAACCATTTTGCAAACCTTAACAAATTCACAAAATGGATAATTATCGATGATGACTGCTAATATTACAGAGAGAAGACTCATTGTATGTGCATCACGTATCTACTGATGCATATGCAAACACCAATGAACTTGCCTTGCAAAAATCAAACAAGCAAACAAAACCAAAAACTGAAGTTGACTCTTAACAAGTCTTTTACTTCAAGCTTGAGCCGATTATAAGACAGAAACCCAGAGAGTAATTTGGACAAGAGTTTAACATAAAAATTATTAACTCTACCACAGGATTAGTATAATGAAGGATTTAATACTGTGGGGTAAAGTAAATTCTAAAAAACACAGGAGTGACAGGAACAGCTACTGCCCTCAGGGCTGTGACAGGACACCCAAGAAATACATGAATCAGAAAGATAACTTCCAACTGTCATGAGAGCCAGACCTCGTTGAAGAAGGCATGGTCAAGGTACACTGCATGGTAAATTTGCAGAGGTGCTATATTGAGGGATTTGTTGAGAATCTGCCCTCTGGGGTATAGAGGAAACTGTCTAAGAGAAGACTCCACACCAGAGGAACTAACTGGGAAATCACATTCTTGGGTAGCTGAAGAAAGTGCCAAAGGAGAGGTATCTTGCCCTGAAACTTACTGCAAAACTGCCCAAAAGTGTGTCAGGGAAGCAGTTCATAAGATGGTGCCCTGTGCTGCTGGCCACCTTGCATTACAGAAGACTGCCGAAAGAGTACACCATTACTGGGAAGCAAATGCCTTCCTCCTCCAGGATCCCTACTGTATCACCTACTGATAGAGCCTTGCACTGAGTCAACTTGTGAGGGAATAATGTTCAGGATCACAAGTGAGGTCATAAAAGGTGTATTTAGAACTAAGAGACAGAAGATTGACAACTGATAAACTTAAAGCTCTAACTCCCAATACAAGAGAAATACAAGGTGCAGAGAGACATGATCACCCCATGGGGATACAATCGGAGAATTTTAAACAAAAAGAATTGGGTAAAAACCAACATATGCAAATAAGAAAAATCTATTTCATAAATGTGGACTCTTACTGGATATTTAATGTTAATAACAGTTATTTTTTTTCAGATGTGATAATGTTAATAGATGGTGGTTTTTTTAAAGTTCTTATCTTTTGGAGATAAAATCTGAAATATTTATATATAAAGTAATATAATGTCTTGTATTTTCCCCACAAAATTCAGTGTAGAGAAAAGAGAATAGAGATGAATTAAGATTGTTATGAGTTAATAACTTGATATTATGTGACAGGTAAAGAGGTTTATTGCAGTATCTCTTTACTTTTGCCTTAATTTAAATTTTTCATAATAAAAAGTTAAAAATAAATAGCTGAGGAGTGGATAGAAAATGAAAAATATTATTCTTGTCAGCTCTCATATTTTAGGAAAACTTGTAAATTTCTTACAAGTCTACTTGAGGGGAAAATATAAACATACCTAATTATCAATGAAAAACAATTATACCTGCAAATAAAAGATTAAAAATTGCAAGAGAATACCATGTACAGCTCTAGGTCAGTTCCTCTATAAATATATCTGAAATTGACACATTTTTTAGAAAAATGTAAATTATTAAGATTGTCTTGAGAATTAGAAATTGAATAAACCACTGGAATGGTAAATGTGAAAACAAAATTATCAAATAATTGCCCTCAAAATAAACATCACAACCAGATGGCCTTAAAGGAAAAGGCTTTCAAATCACCAAGGAATAGAATATCTTATACTGTAAAATTTTAGAATTACCATATCAGATTTTTCAATAAAGTCCACAATTTGATACTACCTTCTACACGAAAGCTATTTAAAACAATCTGCAATATTTAAATATAAAAAAATAAAATCAATAATAGTGTTAAGGAAATAAAATAAAGATGCGATCAGCAATTTGAACATTTTGAGAACTTTCTGGAAGACTAAAAGAAGATGACATTGGAATGACAGAGGTTCAAAACAGAGTTGAGGGGCTGCCAGGCTATCGTAGGTTAAGGATGGGTTTTTGAATAATTGAGTCCCTAATAACTACAAATTTAGTAAGAAGAGCTGGTGGTAAAGTAGAGATTAAGACACAAAGGCAGGAAATTAATTTAAGGTGTGTAAGAGCATTGAGTTGGTCCTAGGGGCTGCAACTCATACTGTCTGTGGCAACCATCTTAGAGCCACAGCTGCAACCTAAGTTGCCATAGATGCAAATCAGTAGTGTTCATGGATGGGAGAAAAGCAATTGATGATACCATTGTTCTTAGAATATTTTCAAAAATCACTTTGTAAAACTAAATTAACAGACTGGAAATGCTGTAATTGTGCATTATAATAAAGGCTTGAAGGAGGGGGCTTTCAATTTTCTGCAACAGAATGAACAAGGGTAACCACCATTTCTTTGGTGAGGAAGAACAGTCATGTACTATCTGAATTCTACTTTACAGTAATTAAAAGTTGAGGAATCTATTTGTATTTGTTATTATACAAGCAAAATATATGAATTTCTCATTCACGTATTCTTTTTTATTTTTATTTTTAATTATACTTTAAGTTCTGGGGTACATGTGCAGAATGTACATGTTTGTTATGTAGTTATACATGTGCCATGGGGGCTTGCTGCATCCATCACCTCATCATCTACAATAGGTATTTTTCCTAATGCTATCCTTCCCCAAGCATCTCACCCCCTGACAGGCCCAAGTGTGTGATGTTCCTCTCCCTTTGTCCATGAGTTTTCATTGTTCAACTCCCACTTGTGAGTGAGAAAATGCAGTGTTTGATTTTCTGTTCTTGTGTTAGTTTGCTGAGAATGATGGTTTCCAGTTTCATCCATGTCCCTGCAAAGGACATGAACTCATCCTTTTTATGGCTGCATAGTATTCCATGGTGCATATGCGCTACATTTTCTTTATTTGGTCTATCATTGATGAGTTCCAAGTTTTTGCTATTGCAAACAGTGCCACAATTAACATACATGTGCATGTGTCTTTATAATATAATGATTTGGGTATATATGCACTAATGGGATTGCTGGGTCATCAGAGTGAACAGGCAAGTTACAGAATGGGAGAAAACTTTTGCTATCTACTCATCTGACAAAGAGATAATATACAGAATCTACAAAGAACTTAAACAAATTTACAGGAAAAAAAACTGCATCAAAAAGTGGGTGAAGGATATGAACAGATGCTTCTCTAAAGGAAACACTTATGCAGCTAACAAACATATTGAAAAAAAGCTCATGTAATCATTTTTTAACCCTCTGCCATATTTCTAAATTCTGGCTTACCTAAATTCTCTAGGCACCATCACTGCACATTTGCTCCAATCCATTTAAATTGATCCAACACACCCAGGTAGGCAGGTCCTAGAAACATATGTGAATACACTCTTGAGTTGTAGACTGAATCTATTACCTTGTTTTAAACTATTTTGAATATCTGATCTGAACTTCCTAGTGTTCACTCTGCTTTTCAATACTTTGAAAACTTTATCTCCACCCCTTCTGTCTCAGTTTCCTACTACCAACCACCTTCTGCCTCTTTGAATCTGGGTCACGTTTTGTACTCACTTTCCTCACTTACACGTAGGACTTTCTTTCCGGAAACAAACTTTAAATTTCTTTCCCATTCATGAAACATGGCTGTGAATTAAAGATGCTTCCATTGCCATGCTGTATCCTGTGAAAGAGTCACCACAGCACAGGAGGAAATTGGGAGGAAATACCATAGATATTGCACAGTTGTAATGGTGGTATGTCATGTGAAAAATTCCCAGCATTATCCTCTCTAGAATATTCATGTGTATGTGCTGCACTTATGAAAGTGTCTTACCATTTAAAAAAGACAAATCTCTGAAGGTCAGCTATTGCAGGGTTTTCTTGCTGTTTCAGCCCCATCCAAATAAGTGGATAATCCTATGAGGTTCTCTCTGAACTCAGCACTCAGTTATCAGTATTATGCAAACCAAAGAATCGGTGAAAGTTGATGCCTATTATATAATTGCTTTAACTTTTACTTTTAAAAAAGAATTTAAAAGTTTTACAAAGGAATTTGTATTTTGCATTTCTTTAAGCTGATGTCTGCTTATTTAAAAGCCAAATCTGGCATAATCTTCACCATGTGGACAGCACCTCTTCTTTGATGGTTTTAAGAGTGTGGCATCTGTGAACTAGAGGATTTCTAGTGCCTTTCTAGAAGCTAATAGAAAAGATTATAAAAGAACATAATACTTACTTTAAAAGAGTGACTTTATATCCCACTTTTCCCCATAAAATAAAGATTAAATCTATTACCCAGAATTAATTACTTATAGTGTCTCCTTTTACTCTCAATAGTACCCTATTTGAAGGAAAAATGATATGGTGCCACTACCTGAAATCTATCTCCCACAGATGACGAAAATCTATTTCACCTTCAAACTACATTCAAACAAAGGAGGAATAAACTACAGAAAGCAACGGTGAGATGCCAGTTTCTGAGAACTTGTTAGATTTAGCTTTCAGTCTACTTATTTAGCAAACAATAAGTGAAAAAAATACAATGTGAAAAAAAGTTTTAATATGACAATAAAGTAATTAAATTAAATGTAACCACTTGCTATTAACTAACCTTTATTAAATAATAATAAATCAAAATAGAATACCCAATAAAACATACGTAATGCTTTTAAGAAATTAAGCACAAATGTATCTGTGAAACGTAGTTTAGCAAATAGAAATATTAGCATATTAGAATTAGAGGCACTTAAGGCCAGGAGTTTGAGACTAGTTTTGGCAAAATAATGACATCCCCGGCTCTTCAAATATTTTTTTTTAAATTTTTTATTGGATTATAGGTTTTGGGGTACATGAGCAGAGCATGCAAGACAGTTGCGTAGGTACACACATGGCAGTGTGCTTTGCTTTTCTTCTCCCCTTCACCCACATTTGGCATTTCTCCCCAGGCTATCCCTCCCCACCTCCCCCTCCCACTGGCCCTCCCCTTTTCCCCCCAATAGACCCCACTGTTTAGTACTCCCCTTTCTGTGTCCATGTGTTCTCATTTTTCATCACCCACCTATGAGTGAGAATATGCGGTGTTTCATTTTCTGTTCTTGTGTCAGTTTGCTGAGGATGACGTTCTCCAGATTCATCCATGTCCCTACAAACGACACGAACTCATCATTTCTGATTGCTGCATAATATTCCATGGTGTATATGTGCCACATTTTTCCAATCCAGTCTATTATCAATGGGCATTTGGGTTGATTCCAGGTCTTTGCTATTGTAAACAGTGCTGCAATGAACATTCGTGTACATGTGTCCTTATAGTAGAACGATTTATAGTCTTTTGGATATATACCCAGTAATGGGATTGCTGGGTCAAATGGAATTTCTATTTCTAAGGCCTTGAGGAATCGCCACACTGTCTTCCACAATGGTTGAAATAATTTACACTCCCACCAACAGTGTAAAAGTGTTTCTATTTCTCCACATCCTCTCCAGCATCTGTTGTCTCCAGATTTTTTAATGATCGCCATTCTAACTGGCGTGAGATGGTATCTCAATGTGGTTTTGATTTGCATCTCTCTGATGACCAGTGACGATGAGCATTTTTTCATATGATTGTTGGCCTCATATATGTCTTCTTTCGTAAAGTATCTGTTCATATCCTTTGCCCACTTTTGAATGGGCTTGTTTGTTTTTTTCCTGTAAATCTGCTTGAGTTCTTTGTAAATTCTGGATATCAGCCCTTTGTCAGATGGGTAGACTGCGAAAATTTTTTCCCATTCTGTTGGTTGCCGATCCACTCTAGTGACTGTTTCTTTTGCCGTGCAGAAGCTGTGGAGTTTCATTAGGTCCCATTTGTCTGTTTTGGCTTTTGCTGCCAATGCTTTTGGTGTTTTGTTCATGAAGTCCTTGCCTACTCCTATGTCCTGGATAGTTTTGCCTAGATTTCCTTCTAGGGTTTTTATGGTGCCAGGTCTTATGTAATATTTTTTAAATTACCTGGGCATAGTGGTGTGCGCCTGTAGTCCCAGCTACTCTGGAGGCTGACTGAGGCGAGATCAGTTGAGCTCAGGATTTCAAGGCTGCAGTAAGCTAGGATATAACCACTCCACTCCAGCCTGGGTGACAGGAAGATCCTGTCTCTAAATAACAATGATGATAATAAGTAACTTATTCATTTATACTTAAAAATTTCCATTTTATTGTTCATTGTGGAAAACAAATCACAGAAAAAAAGGAATAGAGTCTATCAAATAAATATAAAGGAAAAGGACATTAGTATAAGAGAGCAACTGTTAATCAGTTACAACGTGGTATTTCCTCATTTCTCTCATCCACTACACCAAGCACCAGTAAGCTAAAAGTAAGAAATTAATTTTATTTCAGTTACTGTTAAAATTTTTCTACCCTCAATTATTAACTGACATTCACATTGGTTTCTGTCCACTTTGGGATTTCCAATTGCCTCATTCTGCATGAAAATATATTCATTTCATAAGGTTGATATATACCTATTGCCGGTTCATTTTGCAAGTCAATTGCCTTGATGGCTAAAAACAGAAAAATTTGTACTTTATAGGCAAATGTGCCACTGTGAAGGACATTTGGGAAAGCTAGTGGTATCAGATGGCATCTATTGGAAATTTGCACTACATTCTTAAAGCTGAAAAGAACACATACATAAAAAGCAATACTCTGTTACTGAATATGAACTGGATCTGTAAAAGAGAAAAGGACAGAGACTTTAAAAGTAGAGACCTGACTCTGTGTTTCCATCCTGCCATGTAAAAGTGGTATGACTTGGGTAAGACATTCACCACCTAGGGGCAAGTAAGGGACAAAAGTGAGAATAACTTGAAAGTACATAAGTGCAAAATCTATCTATATATATGTATAATATGTGCTATATACAGTATCATATGTAATATATGTGTGTATGTATGCATATATATGATGTGCTTTACAGTCTGTATATATATACACACACACACATATATAATGATGTAGTAAATGTATTGTCTATATTTATATGATGATATACCCTATAGTCAGTATATATAGACAATAGCTATATACATTATATATATGACTATAGAGCACCTCATTATTACAGAAACATTAAAAAGGTAATACAGAATATGATAAGTGTAATAGTATGGAAACACATCTAAAAATAAACAAGAAAAAAGTTGACATGTCATGATAAAAAAAAGAAGAAAAAAGAAAAGAACTGAAATTCCTTCAGAAAATGCTGAAGTTCTCTTTGGAATTGCAGGGCAGGGGAATGCATAATAATTTCAATTAAATGTGCAGGTATAGAAACCCTTAATTCATTCTTCTTTCCCAGTAAATAAGAATAATATGTAGTATAGTAGCAGCAGAATAATTCAGTGCTTTAAAATATTTTGAATTGCCTCAAAAATAAGGTGCTGCCTCATCATTCTAATACTGAAGATTCCAGCAGATTCCACATGGCTAAGGAATATGGTAACTATAAATTGAGAGGAAGAACTTTTGGAAATGACAAAAAGAATTAAAATGACACCATAAGCATTGAACTTAGAAAGAAGGAACTAAAATACTAGGTTACCTAGCCATTGGAATTAGACCCTTATTTAAATAGGACTTGACAGCTTAGATCACTTAATGTTCACTGGTAAAGTTGGCAGGGTGCCTACTATACAAGGTAAAGATGGAAAATTGAATCCTGTGTCGTAATCAGATAAGGTGTAAATCCTTAAGATTTTAGTCAAGTAGAAAATATTTTCAGATACTAACAAAGTCACTTTTAATGTAGTTTATGAAACTTCAAAGTAACTTATTTTTAAATTGGCCTGAAGAAATTAACACTAAAAGTGTAAAATGCTGTAGTTGTCCTCTGTTAATAAAACAGCTCACAACTCAATAGAGTGCAATAAGGGAACTCAATAAATTTCTAGAAAATGTCAAGGTCTCCATTATTCTATTTATCACTTTGAAACTTAGGAGTCATTAGCCCCATAAAAAGGTCAACAAACTGAATGGGCTTTCACCATAACTGACTGCACAACATCAGGCTTCTTTACAGGAGGGATTTTATGAAATCTGTAAAATTAATTCTTGTTCTGGAGTTTATTTGGGTGCCTTAAAAGACTATTTGTGTCTTTGAGTCCTGCTTTTCAACACAGATGAGTTTAATATTTCAGGAGAAGACACTAGGGGAAGCATTGAGCCTGCAATTCAGAAACAGACAACAGCATGTCCTCAGGTCTTACAAAGACCACCTTTGTGGGCTGCATTCTTTTCCCATCAGGCCATGCTGCCCTGATTTGTGTTGTGTTTTTAGTTTCTGAAGAATGCTGATCCTTTCTAAATGGTCTACTGAAAAATGAGTGTTGAAGCACACACGAAAAGTAAAAAGTGCCATTTAGCACACACATAATTATTTCATGGCATACTACAAATTAGCAAAGGCAGATTTCAGCATTTTAATCTTGTATATGTTTTCTGGAAGCTGCTTCATGTCCCCCTTTTCTGGGTGGGAAGCTGCAGAGAAGAAAGGGAGTAGGGTATCAATGATATTTTTATGTGGAATGGCTTCTTAAAGGTGGTGAAATAGAACCTACATTAAAAGTGAACAAACATTGAATTCAATATCTTCAGCAGTCAGATCTTTTTAAAAAGAAATGGCTCAACCTCAGGAAATGGTATAAACATTCATAGCTATTAAATTCACTTTGCACTAAAATTTAATCCAGCAGCATATACCATTTAAGTCAATACCATGTGGACATGTATACACATATACATTTTTAATACTATGTGGTTTTAATCTTACAAATATTCTATATGCTATGCGCTAAGCAGAAGAAATGGTGAGTTTATGTCATCCAATTTTCACCTGGATTCCAACATTAAGTAATCTTTGTGACAGCATATTAGCTAGAAAGGTAGTATGAACTAGTATCTCTGGCCCTAATAATTGATCATTCATAATTTTTAAAAAAGAGAAAACATAAAGAAGTACATCCTATACCAGAAAAATCCTAAGTGCCTGTAGTGAGAGCAACTTTTTGGTATTCTTTAGATAGCTGTTCAGAACGCTAAGGAAAGATTTCCCCTTTGTCTCACTACCATACACCACCATGGTGCAAATAAATTTTAGGATAAAGTAATTTGTTTCTCTACGCAGATATGGGATAATAGAAGAGAAAGCATTCAGTCATTTCCTTACTTTTGACAGGTTAAGAACAATTGCATTATTTAGGGAAATTGTAAAAAAATGATACTTTTCTGATTGCCTGTTTATCTGTCTCTGCAACAACTCTTTGAGAATGAAAACATTATTCTTTTACTGACCACAGAACAGTGTCTCTTGTCTAAAACCTTCTGAATGAATGCTGTTTGAATTAATCAAGGCATTAACAAATTTCCCAATAGCCTTTTAGCTTTTATCACCATGAAGTGTAGAGATGACAATATGGTAGAAAGG